AGAATATGTATGTTTAAAGAACTTTTTGCTTTAACTAAGCAATAACTATATAAATGAAAGAAATAGTTACAAATAGTGTTGCCACCTTTTCAAAATCGCTGACTCGGACGGCAGGTCTGGTTTGTTCGATGCCATGCACAATGTCATTTTACAATGTGAAGAATAACGTGCATGCCGGTTCTAAATCAATTACAGTTAGGGACTGGGGACTTACGTAGGTGTAACATAGGTACAGATGACTTAGCTCTATTGGATTTTGGAGACATGCATGATCGTACATGCAAAAGAAAACGAAAAAAAAAAAAAAGGTTGACGACAGGTTGCACGCTACATGTTGGTGTAGGTGCAACAGACTAACATGGCAGAATTGCAGATGAGTTTCAGCGAGTGTGAGTTCTTTTGCTGTTGAAATAGTTAAATTTGTAAAAATATTTGCAAGAACTTTGTTTCATCGTAATTTCACAATTTCTATGAAATTCCCAGACAAAATTAATAGTTCACCAAGACAGTGAGTCAATTCCCGGACTGCCCAGGTGAAAGCCGGACGGGTGGAAACACTAGTTACAAACCATAAACATATAAAAATATTGCTATAGAAAAGTATTATTTATAATAAAACTAAACATTTACATGTACTGTAGTACCTAAAAAAATTATTTTATCTTGCTCAAAATAAATTTAATTCTGTTACTTGTATGACTTCTTTAATTAATATATCCTGCGCAATAACAATACAAAGACACACTAGTACTTTGGACATGATTGAAAGGCAGCATTTATTTGGTAATATGTGATTATTTAAAATATCATTTGTAAAGCTAATACAATTTAGAAGGCATATAAAAATTCATTATACAAATGATTCTTTTACATACTAGTACTTTTGTATTGTTATTCTGTGGACAAAGGCTGGTTTAGGCATAGTTCAAATGCCGAGTTGCTTTGTCTGCTTTGTAGTTTATCAAGTAGCTGTAATTTTTCGAACGCTTTTGCTTTTTCAATGAGTGATTGATAAAAAAAAAATTATACTTAAGCCACCACAAAGCTGTTAACCTCATAAATGACGCCAGAATGCTAGGATACCGAATATGTTCCTACACTTTAAGTGTCCAGCAAATCACCTTTGTATCGAAAGTTCAATAATCGCGACCTTTGAACTTTCACCACACTAAACCGATGTTGTCGTAACCGTTTTAAGTTTATTTTTTGCCCACCAGTGGCCAAGCGTTCTTCGTACCCTGAACACCGAGAGTTCGGTCATGGGTTCGCGCCTCACTACAACGTGCTGGCCACATGGAGTTTTCCGTGTTTTCTACACATCTTTAACGCCTGAATAGGAGCCAGTTACCCTTAAAAAAAGTTTTACCGAAAAGAATACCCCTAGGCAGATTCCCCAAGTGTTGCTGTTGCCGTAACTTAATAAACGAATTTTCGGCGAAATATCCGGTCACTTATCTTTCTGCTAATTTCACTTGGAAGCCTTGTCCTTCCCGAGCCTTTTGCTGTGCCTGTGTAGTTACGGAACGATAAGTCGATTTTAATACAACTAGATAAGTAAACTGATAAAACCGTTTATTTCAAATGACACTGGATTAATGTCATTTTACCGGATAATGCCACAATTTTAACGAGATTAGTTCATTAAATTCGATCAAATTNTTGTAGGAAACCCTGCTGAAGAGGCCAAAAAAAAAAAGGCGAAATGCATTTGGGGTAAAGTATAGTGTTAAATAAAAAAATTTTTTCTCTTAAAGTTAACCTGTTTGTCCTTTTTTTGTTTTTATACCAGTCTATAGACTTGGAATTTTTTTAAGCCTCCAGAAGTCAGAAAAGAAAGAATTATTTTTCCGTGTACTAATGAATAGTACAATTTGGTAAAGAACTATATAGAAGATCATGTGAAAAAAAAATGTTAAACATGTAAACACTATCAGAAATTGAAACAGAATTGGAATTTTGGAAAAGGAAGTAGAAAAGGCTAAAGAAGATAATGAATCATATCAACTCTTATCATTAATTCTTAATAATGACCAAATATCTGCCATAAAAAAAAAACCAAATTTATGAAATGGTCAAAGAAAATTATTCAAAAAGCTTTAAAATTAAGATTTTCTTATGGAACTAGTGGATATGAGGAGTTATTAAAACAAAACATTCCATTATCTTCAATCAGAACTTTATAAAGACGATTACAAAATTTAAAATTTGAAAATTGGATCCTGACAGAAATCATTGAATTTTTAAAGATTAAAGTGAAATTATTCAAAAATGAGCAGGATAAAGATTATGTCATTCTGTTAGATGAAATGGCAATAATTCCTTCAAAAATGTTTGATAGCAGTAGTAACACATATATTGGTGATGTCACTTTACCTGGACATTCTGAGACTGCAACTCATGTATTTGTGATTATGTTATGGGGGGATTACTTTACAATGGAAACAACTTGTAGCTTACAATTTCACAGGTAACTCTTTAGATGGAAGTTTATATAAAAAATATATTATTTGAAATAATTACTCGGACAATTAGGTTTAAATGTTGTTAGCACTACATCAGACATGGGATCATCTAACAAAGCATTATGGAAAAAATGGAACATCACAGCGAGTCGTCACAGCAAAATAGTAAATTCCATAAAGCATCCTTTAAATTCAGATAAAAAGATTTATCTGCTTGCAGATGTACCACATTTACAGTATTTAAAAATATAAAAAGTATGCTAATAACAAATAAAATTATAAAAATGTCAGAAGAAACAAAAGAAAAATTCTATCTTCCAACTGATATAATATCATCACAGCATGAATTGCTAGATCAACAACAAAACTTAAATTTCAAACTCTCAAATTTAAAAACTCAAATTTCAAAGTTAAGTGTAGAAGATTTATTGCCATCACATTTTCAAAAAATGAAAGTGAAAACATCTATACATGTCATCAGTCATGATATAAACAGTGGATTAAGATTTCTTTCAGAAGTGAATAAACCAGAATATTTAACTGCTTGGTTTATTGATGTTGTTGAAAAATGGTTTAAATTAGCAACATCGAGGCATCCACTTTTTCCTCTAAGTATGAATACAGTACAAAAATATGAGGAATCAATAACATTTTTTAAAAATTTTATTGAAGTGTTTAAAACTATGAAGGTAGGAGATAAATGTATTTGGAAACCTTGCCAAACCAGATTGCTGGTTACGACTCAATCGGTAAGAATCTATATTTTTGGGAGGGGGAATCCCCCCTACCGGTAGAACCCCCTTTGCGATCAAAAATGAACCACGCGCTATGGAAGCGGAGTCACGTGACCGGAAATGACGTACGTATAGTCGCGTATGCTACGCGAGTTATCAGAGCGACGCGCGGCCCAATATTGGGGGAAGCTAATCTCGTGTAGGGTCGCCCGTAGGAGTGTGGTTCATTAGGCATTTTTTGATCGCAAAGGGGGTCTACCGGTTGGGGGTGAAAAACCTCCTCCCCCGAATCGAGACTTGTGCCCGTTTGTACAGTATAAAGACTGGAGAAAACCCTATAAAGCTTTCCCGGGAGAGAGAAGTTAGGTCAGGCCAACACCCAGCTTTACCTTTGCATGTTGCATAAACACGCTACGTTGTATATTCCAATATTAAATCCTGTCAATTAGAAAATACAGCAGTAGTTTTGGCAAGCCGAATATCTATTTCATTAATTACTGACTGATTTCTTACGTTTGCTTTAAAATAACGTTTGGAATTTTGATCTAGAAATTTTTCTAATAAGTAAACAAATTTTTTTATTTAAAAATACTAATGCTAGAGGTTTAAAACTTATCGCGCCTGTAAGAGTCATCCACCCGTCATATTCTTGAATTTAAAAAAAAACGAATAAAAGCTTTTTTAATTAAACTGAAATAATCGTCATTTCTTAATGTAAACCCATAGGCCACGTGATGACAGTCGACAGAACGGCTGCGTTTCTTTATGCAGCGAGAGTGCAGCGTAAATGACGTCACGAGCAGCTATCGCTACACGTCGCTGTTTAGAAACGCTTTCCGCTCGAGCGAAACACGGACGTCATAATCTATCCTTTAATTCCAGTTACAGCCAGTGGTGATATTCAGCGGGTTCGCACAGGTTCGGCCGAACCCGTTGTTAACATTTTCAAAGTTTTCCGAACCTTGTTAAACACATGTAACATTTCTCAATGGTTTTGATTCTTTTAAAAATATTAAAATATACGTATTATTCTCTGTAACACTACTAAACTAGAGCCTTCCGATGCACCATTTGAGCGAAAAAAAATTGTTAAGGAAAAATTTTCTGTTAGCGAACCCTTTGTTAAATGTTTCGAATGTCATCACTGGTTACAGCCGAAAATAGTGCTTTAGTTAAAGAACTACAATATTTAAATAAAGAGATATAAAGAATCGAGCATCTTTCTTTCCATAAATGTGAACAAAGTAAAGAGATAAAAGATATATAATTATATTTAAAATATAGTATTTTCTTATTCTTTAGATAACTTTCAGAGTCATTTCATAAAATTTAATCCTTCTTAATCTTTCCATAATATTTTTATCAACAGTCACTTCGACTTTTTTATTTTTACAGCATAATATCGTATTGTACACACAAGCGTCCATTTTGCTTTACACGTGAAGCGGACGTAAAAGCTGCTTTATCTTCGCTGCAGCGACCTCTTGCAGCAAACGTTTAGAAACGGTTCGCTACATTGCAGCGCTGCATTTAGAAACGGGTTTCAGAGTGTTCGCTGAAAAGCGCTTCTCGAGCGCTGCATAAAGAAACGCGGCCAACATGGCGGCGGCGGCGGCGACTCGCGTGCCGCTACTCTGATAATCTACGTATAGTACTCTAATTTATTCCATTCGCGCGTGCTTTTAATTTATAAAATAATTACAATTCGTGTATAATTATACGAAAAATTAATTTTAAAATTTTACTAATATTTATAAATTGAATAAGTAATAATTAATAATAATAAATAGAAGTTTTTCCCCCTATTTATTTATTTATTTTAAATTACGACTAAAATAACGCCAGGAGTCGCTGTGTAAAACAGAAGATATGTCGACATATTTTATGCCAAAGCTGTGAACGTTCCTATAAAATTTAATTTTGTAAAAAAAGGTATTTTTATGAATTAATTTCTTAGACCAATTCGCTATAAATGTATAAAGGCTCGATCTACGTGATGCTATTTATTTTTTAAAGATTTTATGAGAGAGACGTAATATAATTTTGTAAACAAAAATTTTCGTGATGTTTTGTGCTTTTTCTGGTCTAAAATATTCCAGAAAAATTTCTTCAGAATTAAATAATTTATTTTTGGCCCCGTTTTATTGTTAATAGTAAAATTCACGAATTAAACGGTAAAATGTGAACTCTGAATGAGGGATTTGCCACCACCCTCAGAATTGTAGACCCCCTGTACAAGTGGGCTACTGGAAGCCTGCATAGGATAAATAGTTAAATGTGATCGTCTTGGTGGCATGTGCAGTGTGACTTGCATCCTAGATTTTGGGGGAGGGCTGTGTTGCACGTGTACAATGATGTATGGTTCCTTTGACTCTTTTACTCCTATGCATATGGTCTACGGCCGTGGTAAGGTCCCGACCGTCTCGGTGGTGTAATTGCACCGTTTTAAAGGTTTATTAGTAAAAGTAATAATTTATAGGGATAGGAACCACTATGGGCTCCTAAAGCACAATTTACACTGGATGCGAAGGGTGCAAAGTGTAATGAAGCGAAGAGAGTGAATGACAAAATGTGAGGGTATGTGACCTCGTGAATCAAGTTAAAAACTTTTGTGTCATCCAATGGGAGTATGTAACAGCTAGACACATTGGCAAGTGCGAGCCAATGAAAACGTTTTTGTCTCAACTAGAGTTCTCGACTCACAGCAGGAAAAAAAAAAGATTCTTATTGAAAATAATACTGGTATATAATTTAATTTAGAATAGCATTAGAATTAGAATAGCTATTTAGAATAGCATTATCTAGTTAACACCCTGTATGTTAGTACAGGGTGCACCACACATGGGAGACTACCCTAGGAAGATTTTGAGGTGGTGCGAGATCTCATTGTGGCATCACCCCATAGAGACTAAATTGTACATAGAGATTACAAATACTTCAGATACGTTTTTCACATTATCATGCTTTATCAATGTTCTACGCTATACTTTTTTGTAATTTGTAATGGATTTTGAGACTTGTAATGGAGGATTAACTCTAACCAGACAGCAAATTGTTGACCCCTTCTTTTTTAGGCATTAGAATTTTTCACCAATCCTATCTGATTTGAATAGCTAATAGGCCTATTGAAGGATTAATCGCAGGCCACATAAATCCATTACATGGGCCACATCTGGCTTGCGGGCCATATGTTGGCCATGCCTGTTCTAGCCACTGCACTATAAAACATTTTACTTTATATATCAACTGTGACACTGTGAGCACACCTTAATGTTTTTTTTTTGTTTGTTTTTTTAATTTGGGAATAAAAGTCTGATGGAGCTAGATGCAAATACCTGATAAACCAAGTCTCAGCAAGTTTATGCTTGTATCAATTAATGATAAATATAGCATTCTGTTTATAAATAACCACTTTCCAGAAACTTTTCAAATGTGCTATGTATATATGATTATGTATATATATATATATATACAATGCTTGTATTATAATATTGTATTATAATACAAGCATTGTATTGTGTTATAATATTGTATTATATATATATACAATGCTTAAAAACAGCTTTAATTTGATGTTTTTATAACCTAAGATTTAGCCTCTTCAATTAAATTTGATCTATTGTAAATTGTGAAATTATTGATCTATTCCATATACACATTACAGTTTAATTAGATAGGCTAGTCTTGTTTTAAATATTGGTGGATTTACTAGTTAAATATAATTAAAAATTGTTTATTTAAACAAAATAATATCTTCAATAAACTATAATTATAAACAGTTATAACTTTAATATACAGTTTAAAACTACACAATAATGAGTCTTTCAAAAGACTTGTTATTGTGTAGTCTTAAATGGTATATTAATTTTACAATTATAGTCCTGGCAATTTAATCAAAATTTATAATTTTATTTGAACATTTTTCTTTTTTGTTACAAAAATCTATGAAACTTAGCATCATCTTTGACATGAAACAAAGAATTGCTGAACTGAGGTCATCAAATAAAGCATACTTAATCAGAGTTTAATTGTTATCATTATATTAATAGTAATAAAATTGGAACATTTGTAATTTCTGTACAAATATTACAAAGGTTAAGAAATTAAAACCCATCTTAATTTGCTAAACCTTTTTACATTCTAAAGTAGGAAAAATTCCAACCATTAATAGTGAAACAATAAAATTGAATGAGTGTTGTTCTAGAATGAAGAGTTGTTTAAGTTTAAACTCTGGCAGATGCATTCCAAATAAAATTTGTTTGAATAAGAATTCAGAAAGATGGTTTTTGATGGTAGACACTTGAGGACAGACAGAAAAGTCCAAAAACACTTTTTAGTTTGGCGATATTGTTTTTTTTTCTTATGAACTCTGGTTTAAGCAGAAAGGTAATGCGAGATTGGTCATGTTATGGAGTAAGATTATAGTAATAAAACAGATCGCCTTGTAACTCCAGCAGTGGATTTAATAAATCATAACATTTTCAACCTAATACAATAGGCCTTCCTGAGTAAGATTATAGTTGTGAACCAATATTCTAATTGCAAATATTTTTTAGTCCAATTAATGGATCATCAGGCTTGAAATAATTCAAGACATCACCTTGAAAACTTGGAATGGAATAAAAGTAAATGATTTGAGAGAATGAGTATTTAAAATATGTCGTTCTTACAGACGACTTCGAATTTTCATAAATAATGCTAACTAAAGCTACTTTTAGATCTCCATTTTTTAATTCCCAAATACTTCCAGACCATATACATTCATCTTTGTAATATTTTATTGAGCTCTGTTGTCTAAAACATCTTGTTCTAAATGCCAAAGTCTTTCTAAAAAGACTTTTCTGGTGGTTGAAAAGAAAGTTGGCATTTAGAACAAGAGAAATTATTCTCTGAATATGGACATATACAATGCGAACATATTTGGGAATTAGACAGTGGCGATATGTGACATTTTTACTCTGAAATAATAGGTTTAGTTGATGTTATTGATTCACTGTTAATGGTATGAATTTTTCCATTATTTATAATTCAGTAATTTCTGTGTATTGCATTTTTATTTTTAAATTTAAATTTTATATTTTTTTCAGTAATTAACTTAAGCCCTTATCCCGAGTTAACTCGGGCAGGTTACATAGCGTTACAGAAAACTCGGGTGTTTCGACCCCTTTGAAAAAATTTCTTTTCGGATGTTTTTTGTCTCCAAATTTTTTCCGCGATTTTAATTAATGTACCTTTAATGACGCACGATTAACACTTAATTGTTTTTTATGGGATTTTTAAAATCAAATTTTATTCATCGTTCTAAAGTTCTAGTGCACGGATTTTACATGGTAAAGTTATTTAAAGCTAGTTTCTGATGTCAAAAACGACCTCCAATATTTTTTAATTTGTTTAATTAATAGATTTTATTCAATATACGTTTAATTAAGTCGGAAATCGCAATAAAAAACGTAATTTTTTTAAAATATTTAAAAATATACGGCCAGCTAGTATTCACCCTACTTTAAACCTTTCTCCTCCTGAGACGTCTATGAGAATGTCCCGGGAAATCCAACACCAGCTGTTCTCAAGGTCATCCAGCGGTGTCAAATTTTGCAGAAAGGCGAGACAATGGAAAATAAAGTTTGAAGCTTTCTCTTCAAAATTAACGCATTTCTTTTGTTTTTTTCAGTTTTAAGTATTTTTTTATGTTTAATTATATTAAAATTAAAAACTACTGGGTAGCAAAGGCGTTAAAAATTCTTCAAACTAAAAAATGCTGTTTCTAATCGATTCACATTTGAATTTAAATTCCTTTCATTTCAATTTGATTAGAAATTTATCGCAAATATTTAATTTTACCAATATTAAACTCGTGCTATTAACTCTGATTAAAAACGTCTGTTCAGATAAATTTTATTTGTGTTATTAATTAAATAAATTAATTAAAAATAATAATAATTCTACTAAGCTCATTAAACAAAAAAAGTAAATATAAAGTTTTTTATCTTAGATATTTGATGAATCATTTTAGTAAATGTTAAGAACAGGAAAGACAACTGTCAGTTGACAGAATCGAATCGCTGACCTTTGGGAAACTTCGCCAAAGCTCTGTCGACTTAGCTAATTTGGTCTAGTAATTGGCAAATTTAAATGATGAAACAGTATAGAACATTGAAAATGGTATAGCTCTGTTTATCACATTACTGTTAGCACAGATAACATCTATTGGAAATGTCTACCACTATTTAATTTTAAATTTTTACCTAGTATCAAAGTTTGAAATTAATCTGTAATGTAATTGTAACTATTGTATTATATTAGTAACCAATTGAGTTGTAACCAGTTTCGAATTATATATTCAAAATGAATTTTTTAGTATTTAAGAACTACCAGTATAGAAATGCTATATAATAATAATCTTGATGGATATTAAATATTTGCAAACTGTTAACATAAGACTAAAGAATTGTTTATCTTTGTGTTTTCTATTAAATTTTGATATTTTTTGGAGACCAAATTTTAGTTTAAATGCTGTAACATGATTAAATATTGTAGTTTTCTAAATTATGCATTTGTTACTTAATTAGAATTAACTGTAAAGTAAAACTTGGTAATTACATGTTACAACAATATACACTGTAAATATTTCCCCTAACAGTATCCCATAAAGTATAGTACATATTTCTGTGATCAAAAAGTATTAGGAATGATTTAATAAAATGCAAGATTTGAATTTATTCATCAAAATTTATTTCATCCCCTTCAAAGTAATCCCCTCCTATTTCAATTTACTTATGCCAATGTTTTTTCCAATCCTTGAAACATGCTTTAAAGTCATTTTTATGACGCTCCTTTGAGATTTACAGAACAGAAGGATATAAAGAAATAACATTGATTTTGTAAAATCGGTAGGAGGTTTCCTAATTTTTGTAAGATGGTACATTTGGCTTCGGTGGAGGCTGTAGTTACAAGCTCAGAGTGTGGGATTAAGGATGTGATATGTTTTGCTAGTGCAGCTTCAAGATGATACATGGGATGGGAATGTTTGTTGACCAATGGTCTTAGTGGCCATAATAATTTATGGGTTTTGGCCTCAAAAAATAATTTGGGGCATGAAATGTTCGATGGAGGATTGAGAGGACCAGCTAAAGATTCAACAGTTCCTGGTAATGCAATAACTTTGTGCACTTTTCTTAACACAGTGGAAGTAGGATCTTGTTTTAGTACTATGGATCTGGAATGTTTGAGGAACTTGTTAGCTCTATTGAGGAAATCTTTGTTTGTGCATAGAACAAAACATTTGTCTTTGTTGGCTACTAACAGTTTTAAGTTATTCGATTCAAGAAAAGATTTTACTATTTTTGGAGTCTTCATATTTGCCCTTATGGTTTTAGGGAAATAATCGGTGCTATAGCAGTCAACTTAGAAAGATCTAATTTAGGTTGCAAATCTGGACTTTTTGTGCTCTTTATGGCTGCAATAATAGGAGGTATCAGTTGTGTATAATTTTGGTTAGGAAAAGGTATAAACTTTGGCCCCTTTATTAGGGTTTGGTGGATATTCTCCGGTACCGTAATGTCAGTAAAATTTTGATAAGGAACTTCCATTGCTTGTGGTTGTCTTCTGTGAGTAGTTGAGCATAACCACTGGAACTTTTTGTTGAGTTTCTTCCTAATTTGGTGAGCTTTTTTGATGGCTATATTCCTAATTTTATCCAATTGTTGGTATAGAATATTTGCATCACACAGTTTTCCAAAATATATATGGGCCAGGTACAATTGCTTTTCTTTATCTGCTGTTTCTTTACATTTGCTTTTTATTAGTCTTGCTAGAAGTTTACGTTCAATTTGAGGTAATGTGGTGTGTATTTCTTTTGGGAAGGACTCATATTTGAGTGCTATGGACTTTGGAATAAGGCAGGTTTTCCGACATTTTAGTAAAAACCATAATTGTGCTTGAATCTTTAACCATGTAATTCTTGTCTTTAGTAAATAAAAGAAGTGCTTTCTATTAATTTCCATGATATAATAAGTTTGCACTTCATGCTGACGTATACTATTATTATAACATGTGCAGTGGCATTACGGGAGTGGAGTTCTAGATACGGAAATCTATTCGACTTTTGGAGAAAGGTCTTATCCACTAGCACCTACAGTAGTGTAAAACTACCATCATCAGACGGCACATACAATATGATAGTTTAAGCTTTCCAAACGATATTCTGACGGTTTTACAAAATTTCAATATCAAATATTTCAAATGATATTTCTGACGGATCAGCTGATTATGGTTTTCAAATATTATTTAAAAGTTCTTACGTCATAGTGCATAGAAAAAATGATAATAAATAAATCTCATAGTGAGAAATGTCCATCAAAGAGCATTGTTTATGCATTTTCCACAGTTATGCATGAAACTATTAAATGATTAAATAACACTAAAATAATAATTCATTGCAGTTTACCAATAATAAATAAATTACAATGGAGATGTGTGTATGTATACAAACATACACACTATTTTATAGTAGCAATAGATTTATAATTATAATTATTTTTATTATGCAGCATTAATGTGACATTATGTCGGACAATATCAATGAAGACCAATCAAAGTTAAATCAACAACAATCGGCTTGCTACGACTCCAATGATTTATCCGTAGCCGACACCAACACTTCGGAATTACTCGGAATAACAACTTGTAGCGATCCAGTTGTATCTAAGAGCTTTAAACAGGACAACAACAACAGATGGGAAAGGCAAAGTACTGGTTTTCATAATTCATTTGGTTCAACAAATGCTAATAATATGAATAAACCGAAAGTAGATTTTCGTCTGTCCTCCAAGAGAATGCATCGAACAGAAGGAAAAGGTAAGTCACAAAGATTTCATGTAAAAATGTTATATATTTATTTCAAAATAATTGAAAACAAAATTATTATTATTATACTTTTTTTTAACCATATCATATCATATATATATATCTTTAGGCATTCTTAAATACAGAAATAGTTCTGTTATGGATAAATCTCTTCAGCATCCTCATAATTTTCACTCGGATGTTACGGATGTACGACAAATGGAACAAGGATTACTACAATTGCTAGACAATTTTCATTCTGGAAAACTGCAAGCGTTTGGTAAGAATTTTGAAATGTGAATATGTTATTATTTGACAATTTTTATGTGTAATTAGCTAGTAGCCAGCTAACAAAATTATGCTGTAATAAATTATTTTATTGTTTTGAATTGATTTTTAAAGTAAAGGTGTATGAAATGTGTGTTGAAATATATGATACACCATGTTATATTTTAACATATATTTATGCAAACTGATTACTCAATATATAAACCATATAACAGTTTTAGTACAACTATAGTATGAAATACATAAAAAGAATTTTATATCTTTTTTTTCCTATCAGAAATATATAAAATTTTCTATATTTGAATCTATCCTGTTATAATTGAATAATTATAGAATAATTACTTCCAATTCTTAAGTGATTCTAGTTTAGGAATTAATATGTAAATTAAACAGTTCTTATTAAAGTTTTGATATTAATTTTGCCATACAAAGTTTAACAAAGTTTTTGCTGTTAAATAAATTTTCTATTATTTGTAATATTTTAGGCAATGTTTTCATTTGTTTTCTTATTGACTATTAGATGAGGCCGAATGATTGCTGTAATGAATTTGGCTATTTTTCTGCTACTATTAATTAAATTCTAAGTAATTTGGTACTATAGGTAGGCATTAGGTGCTGTCTGTTATTAAATTTAATAATTATTTAATTATTAACAGTAGTGGAAAAGTAGCCATATTCATTACAGCAATCATTTGGCTTTTTTAAAATAGCAATTTTTTTTGTAGAAAGAATTTTGGTATATTTATTCTGATATTTGAAAATTAAGATTTATTTTAACTAATTTAAATTAAATAGTTTTTTTAATGATAACATTCTAAAGCATAATTTTTTCATATCTGAATTAAAATAATCTGTAATATTTATAGTGAATAAATTTATTTATTTTAATAATCAGGTGAAGACTATACATTTGAAAAGTTGAAAAATGTTAGAGAACAACAAGAAACATTAGCAAGGCTACATTTTGATCTAAATGCTCAACAAGAGAAACTGAAGTAAGTATTAATTACTGATAATTTGAAAATTGGAATTTATTTTTAGTTATAATGGATACAAAAGATGATAATTCAATATTATTGTTATTATTATGTAAAAGCATACTTATTTGGTAATGACAAAAAATAATAACAATACTAAGTATACACGAAATAGAATTCAGATACATACTAGAATATAAATTTCATTATAATCCAGAGAGTGATAAAATTTATCCAGACACATTTATGTTTATTTATTCATATTTATTCATTTGTTGTACTGAGTGTTTTAAAACATTTTAAACATTCTTTAAAAATATATATTTCACAAACTACATAAACAATTTTTGCAAACTTTTTTTTATTTTAAAACTTAAAAACACAATTTTTTGTTTTTGTTTTATAGTTTTACAGTTTGATGGTGAATAGCCTATTCTGAGTCAGACAACTGTATTTTTGCAAACAAGGCATAAAAACAAATGTTCTCTGGCTATCAAATGAATGATTTTGAGAAAGTAGTTACGCTTCTCAAACATACCCTATTTGCTGGCAGACACTGGATATTCCAACAAGACTTTTCATCTACACAAGAGGCCAAAGCAAATCAATATGGGCTAGAGATGAATTTTCCAGTGTTCATTGCAGCAGATTGATCTTCAGGAAATCATGATCATAACTCCCTGGATTATGCCATTGGAATAGTCCAGGAAATTATTTTAGAGAAGAAGGTCTGTTCTAAACCCTTTGCAATATTCATACTCTAAAGACAACAACATCAATATTCACAAAAATTGTGCATGCAGCAATAAGTAATTGACTGGAACATTTAAAGAAATGTGTCAGAGCAAAAGATGTTCATTTCAAATAATTTCAGAGATTTTGTAAAGTAATATAACATAGTAATAAACTAAGTATAATCCCTCTGTTTATTTTTGATTATTAAATAAATCTCTCATATAGAAAGAACTTACAGCACAACTAAGCATATTGACCGAAGCTACTGATGGCTGCAAAAAAATTAAACATACTTTTTTTATGATAAACTTTTCTTTATTTGTCCTGAATAAGCAATATTGTATTGTATTTATATGTAATGGTGCAAGTTTTGTTTATTTTGATGGTAAACATACTATATTTCTACACGTATAAGAGCATGCTTTTACAGATACGGAAAAATTGGCACTATGTTCCACAAAATATCTAAAAACCTTAACGTTTATTTTAAATATTTTTTTAACTTAATATCAAATATTTTTAGTATCAGAAACATTTTAAAATTTTTGGTTTTACTTTTAATAATAGTTATCACAAAGATATCACTAAATAGTTATTGTATCAGTATCAGTACATTTAAACTGAATAGTTATTGTATCAGTATCAGTACATTTAAATTTTTTCACTTTTCTCATTGAGTTCATCATTTCTATCTTTGCTCTGGTCACTATACTCATCTTTACTCTCCTCAGTTTTCTCATATTCATTGCTACAAGACTACTTCACACTTATCAGCAGAGCTGCAAATTCGGTAGACCAAGTCCTCAACCCAGACTCAGAATTTCAGAAAGTCCTACTCCAACTCCAACTTTTAAATAATAATTTAAACTAAACTTATATTATGATTATATTAATGCAGAATGGCATTTCATCACTACCAAGTGAATCATCAGGATACTTTTTAAACATTTTTATCAGTATTTTTATTGATTGATTTCTCTAGCAACAAATTTGCATCTGATTCCAACTCAACAGTCCTGCTTGGAAGTACCACTACTAGTATTGAAATCTGCATGTACAGTACATTTCCCTTGATGATACTGCTAGGTCTGTAATTTAACAAATTTGTTAGCAGTCATAGCATCCTGATCACTGAAAACCAATAGGTTAAAGTTGTTTTTAAAGACAAGGAAACAAGATATTTTCGAAGCAATACTTTAAAGATACAAATTCAATTTTTAAACAATATTTTGTGTGTTGTGTACACAGAATTTACTAAGTTTCCCTAGATTACTTTATTTACCACGGGAGAAACTCTAACATAGAAAATTGTGAACTGGCAGTGCTAAAAATATCTTAAATTTAGGATAAATTTAGTGCAGAAATATGGTACATGCTTTGATAACAAAGTATGTCATTATTTTCACTAGATACAATCAAATTGAAAACATCCTTGAATGAATCATTTCTCTAAACTTTGTAAAATATTTTTTGGATTGTTTCATAAAATATTAAAATGTTTAAAACAGTATTTGATTGTTATTAAATAGTTTGTTTAATTTTTTTGGTTGCTTTTATTTTTAGACCTTTATCACAAGAAAGAAGAAAAGTAACCAAAGAAAATCTTGATAAACTTGTTGAAAATGTAAGTATTTAATCAATTGGAAGTTATTTTATTAGTTTAGTTTATAATTTAAATTGTGTAATTAAATGTTTTTTAAATAAAAAAATTATTTGTACTCTCTCTAAAAAGTTAATATTGACAGTGTAAAATTTTATTGTAAAGTATTTTTATTAAATTCAATATTATGAAAGAACACTTTTGTTAAGTAACAGAAAGCTAGAAAAAGAATTAAGTGCCATGAAACAATGTTCAGCAAGTCTGTGTTCTGGTGAAGCATTAAAATGAGTAATTATTCATTTTAATGCTGCATCTTGATGTCATCTTGAAGACATTTTAAACATTAAAGTGGAACTTAAATTAAATACTTTGTTATTAACAAACCTATTTGAAGTGATGTGAAAATTGACCAATATATTAAAAAAAATCTATTGTGAATATTGCACCATATAGTCTACTAATAATGAATATTTTGAACTGTGAATGTAAGACATTATCAATTTTAAGATACTTTTGGTTGGGCAGTGAAAATAGTAAAAAAAATTGATGTCAGGAGTAAGGAAATATGGTATATAAACCTATATTAACTCATTTATTCATTCATTTACACATTCATTTAATGATATGAAATACTTTGAGAAGAAGAAACTTCTTATAAGAAAAGCAAAACAGTACTGTTGAAAAGATGGCTGAATATATTACCAGAAAAATCCAGGCTCATCTCTAATTTCTCTGGCAGCTACTGCGATTCTTGCAATCAGCTCCTCAGCATTGTTAATGGGGGTATCATAAACCAGTGTTTTCATATGCCCCCAGAAATAAAAATCAAGACCCAATCCCTGGTAGCTGTAAGAAATGAACCTCTCTCAGCTAACCTCTGGTGCAGGCTTGCAAAGAAATTATGGCTGGGAATACGCCTCATCAGATATTGTTCCACATAAAAGCGCTTTGCAGCTGGCCCACTACAATCTGCAGCCTTGTACACCAAATGCATATTGGCTAAATCTGTGGTTGTATAATAAGCCATCCTACTAACTCTACGTCCTTGTGCGAAATGATGATTCCCTGCAAGAACACTCGGAACTTTTGTGCAACACCATCTACCACGTCAGGAAAGCATTTCTGACTCGACATTGCTATATGATTCCAAGTTGTCGGGATGCACCGTACCCTTCTTAGACCGTTTAACTGAGACACTCTGTTTACAGATATAATTGAATCATCTGATATTATAAAATCTTGATATGACAAAAATAAAATTCTTATACTAATTAAAATCTATTGTATATAATCTGTTATGTGCTGGAGCCTTGCATAACCTATCAAATGAATAATTATTAATAATAATAAAATGTTATAATTATTATCCATTCTTCAATTCCCTAAGTTGATTCATTCATTATCAATTCATTTTTAGTGATTTACATTATTTTGACAGGGAAATTTTAATTTTCTTGCCAGAACTATAATAATTATCACACTTTTACCGTTAATTCAATTTTACAATTAACTTTAGTTAACAATATTTCAAAATAAAATTGGAATTGGAAACTTCATACACATAGAATGAAAACTAACAACATTTTATCATATAAAATCAGTTGTACTGTACATCATACTACTTCAAGAGTTTAGAATATGTTTATTTTTAATGCAGCTTGCATAGGTGTTTTTGAATGAAAAATTTCTAATTGTTATCTTAAGATATAAAAGTTTTGTTGTCCTATTTTTGTTATCGCATACATCCTGATATGTTTTAGCTCCTGGTTTTAGATGTTAGTTAAACAGTTTGGCTGCATTTCTTTATGCAGTGCTCGAGAAGTGCTTTACAATGAACACCCTGAAATCCATTTTTAAATGGCCAATGCTGTTTGTGACGTCATTTCGCTACACTCNCTTATTTGAAGTGATGTGAAAATTGACCAATATATTAAAAAAAAATCTATTGTGAATATTGCACCTTGTAGTTTACTAATAACAACTATTTTGAACTGTGAATGTAAGACATTATCAATTTTAAGACACTTTTGGTTGGGCAGTGAAAATAGTAAAAAAAATTGATGTCAGGACTAAGGAAATATGGTATATAAACCTATATTAACTCATTTATTCATTCATTTACAGATTCATTTAATGACATGAAATACTTTGAGAAGAAGAAACTTCTTATAAGAAAAGCAAAACAGTACTGTTGAAAAGATGGCTGAATATATTACCAGAAAAATCTGAAATCTAAAAAATAAGAAATATTTTTTGTTATGAGGCTTCAGAATGTAAGCCTTGATGACTATAGAACATTTTGGTATGTTGTATAATTTACATATTAATATACAGGGTGTCTCAGTTAAACATTTCAGAACTTCTAAGATGGATAGGGTGCATCATGATGACTTGGAATCATATAGCAATGCAGGGTTGGAAATGAAGCGGTGATGTACACAAAAACATCATAAAGAAGAAGACCATAAGTGAATATTCGTTTTAATAATAAATGTACAAAACAAAAGGAACATGGGTCAAAGAAAGTGTTTGAAGTTTCTTCCACTAACTGCAATGCAGACCTCACATCTACGGCGCATGGAATTCTGAACATTCTGGAATAATCCAGGCTCATTTCGAATTTCTCCGGCAGCTATTGCGATTCTTGCAATCAGCTCCTCAGCATTGTCAAGGGGGGTATCATAAACCAGTGTTTTCATATGCCCCCAGAAATAAAAATCAAGACCCGATCCCTGGCAGTTGTTAGAAATGAACTTGTCTCAGCTAACCTCTGGTGCAGGCTTGCAAAGAAATTATGGCTGGGAATACGCCTCATCAGATATCGTTCCACACACAAGCGCTGTGCAGCTGGCCCGCTATAATCTGCAGCCCCGTACACCAAATGCATATTGGCTAACTCTGTGGTTGTATAATGAGCCATCCTACGAACTCTGCATCCTTGTGCCAAATGATGATTCCCTGCGAGAACACTCGGAACTTTCGTGCAACACCATCTACCACGTCAGGGGCCCTTAGTCTCGAGTTTTTCGTGTTGTACTCGAACTGACGTCATCGAACTCGCTCGTGTTACTATGACTCACATAATTGGTAGTCTCGAGTTAGACCTTTCAAGCGAACTCGAAAGGTGAGCGGAAATATGTCATATTCACTTGGTTGCGTGTGTCATTAAGCATGATGGGATTATTTACAATGCATCTGGGTTTGCGACTATGATGAATCAACCAATCAACTTAACTGTAACAAATTGTAAACAAATCAACGTGAATTAGTTTACATGTGCTACAGTTAAAAGTTGTCTTATAGCAATATAGTACGCAGAAACAAAATGAAAACGTCCAATGTTTTATTTTAAAAAATAAGCGAAGAACAAAAAGAAATATTAGTAACATACGTAGAAAATAATAAGAAAATGAACAGTGAAAATTCGACAATAAATTTACAAGAAAAAGACAGTTCGCTTTGTGGAGAGAATTAGTTGAAAAATTAATTGCATGTGTTGGAGCTAAAAAATCCGTTATGTAATGGAAAATGTATTTTAATTTAATTCTTTCTTCATACAGTTTTCTTCCTCGATCTATTTCTTAAATTNGTATTTTGGGTACATATGTAAGAAAGGCTACCTAAAATACTTTGAGAAAATAATTTTGTGTATTATAAATTAATTTCATTTATTTTTATCTAAATACATACTGTATTAACATTTCTCTCATTATAGCTTTGTGAGTTATAGACGGGACGCTTAATCGTTTAGCCCTTTAGCTTTCAGTTGCCTGTTTAACTTGTGAGTTACAATTACAATTTGTGTTTATATCACACTACATAACAGTCGACAAACATAAAAGCATTACATGTGTGTAAGCAGCATGTTTCCAATTTATGAGAAGTAATTGCATAGATGTCGGGAGCTGCTATAAGGATCTAGAAGAGCTGCAGTTTGACTGCCATAGCTTGTGGTATAATAACCAATTGATAGTTTTTGTTTTATTGCTGCAATTCTAATTAGTGTTATTTTAATTTTAAAATGTTTTTAAACTCAAAAAATAATATATCTGTGTATCATGTTTTTTTTATATTAAGATTTATATATATACAGTAGACTCAATAACTTGTCTTCAATAATATTTTCAATTTGCATTTAAAGGATAAGATTGTCCTAAAGTAACAATCTTATCCTTACATGCAAATTGACCAATCAAATCTTAGCATTAAAAAAACATTTTTCTTTTAAATTTTTAAATTTTGAATATTTCAAAATGTAATGAACACATTTGTGATTTAACTATTGTTGGGTCAATTAAATTTACAAGTTCATTCATATGTATCTTTTTATTTGAAACTAAACATTCATAAATATCACTTTTGTAGCTGTTGTTATGATCTATGTATGTATGTTTCTAATCCGACATTAAGTTTGGTAGACTATCATTACAGCTTTCAGGTTAGACACTTCTTTTATTGTTTCCAACTATGTATTTCAGACTTATATAAATGTTAAGTCCCTCTTCAGTGCAATACTACAAATTATTAAAAAAAACAATTAGTAACATGACAAAATTCTTCACACGTAGGTCATATTTACTGACATAAAACTATCATACTTAAAAATTGTCACACTTATACAATACCTATGGTTCTGTCTTCTAAAACCACGGTGTATAACGGGTAACATTGGAAAGATTTTAAAATACAGCCATTAAAAACACCACCAATACATTTTCCAACATTAATACGGAAAACCTAATATATTAATAATTTTAGAATTTTTTACTTTATAACATCATATATCTTAATAAAATACCAATATAACACCATACTCACTTTTAACATGTGCTCATAAAATCTTATATAAGTACAACTTTTAAAGAATATGTATGTTCTACAATAAAACGTTGCAGTAACTGCAATTATAATCGTTTTACAGATTAATTATATGTAACATAGTAATATTAAAAACATTTTTAACAGAATACATATGCAATTTAACAATATATTTCCAATTATTTTCTGTCACAATACTATGACTTGATTGTAATGTATTTATCATTGTGTTG